GTTTGCATGTCATCACTTATTTTTACGGGAGTTGGATAAGGTGAAGATTTTAGCACACTCTGAGATCTTTGAGCATCTAATTTCACTGAATTTTCAGCAAATGTTCCAACTCTTTGGACCTCATCAGGTGTCTCTGGTGAAGACTCCAGAACATTAGGAGAATTTTGCAAGTTAGATCTCTCCAAATTTTCAGTCAATATTTCTGCCTTTTGGATTTCAACTGGAGTGTCTGGTGAAAATTCTTGCATACTGCGTGGTCTTTGTATGTCAGAATTGTCAAAGTTCTCCACAATAGTAACTCTTTTCCGAATTTCAGCCGGAGTCTCTGGCAGTGTGCCACATGCTTTAAGGAACTTGGCCTGGTTTCAACACATAGATAATAATAAACATCTTTAGGGAACAGCCAACTGTACACCCCCCTCCCAAATGAAAGATTTGACTTGAAACAATGAACACAAAAAAGGGCATAATCGACTGAGCAACTCCTTGGCCTAAATTATCACCCCTTAATCATAAAACCATTTTCCAGTGCAGGAAATACAAGTGGACAGAGGCTCCTCAAACCAGCTAATATTTAGACAACAAACATATCCGTGAGAAATAAAAAAACACATTTAATTGGACAAAAGGTATGATTCCACTAAAGAGTAAGGGATCAATCAAGCTGTTGATATAAAATCTAGAACACTTTCAACATTGACCCTGTTTACCTTAACCAATAGAATGCGCGATTAGATGCAAATTTCTCAAGCTAACCTAGTTCACTATACGTACTGTTAATACCAAAATTGTTATACTGTCTGGCTTCTCATAGTTGGTTGATTAATCTACCCATATTGAATGGACACTACTTTTTTTACAGAAATTAGACTGGCACAATTATTGAATGCAAGTGTCCAACACACTAACACAGTTGCTCATAAATCTGAGCAACATGTCAGCACATAGATGCATGTCACGAACAACATACAACGCAATTGGCCAGCCAAAATTTCTTTTGCAACGCAATAAGCATTACAGCCGGTGCACAACAATGAATCATGCTAAGCATCAATGTTCTCCACAGAGTTGTCTAGCTCTAAAATTTAAATCCAGATATAAAAACAGAAGCATTTTATGATCAGACAAAGACATTATTGAAATGACTGATGATAATGCCATGAAACAATCTAGAATCAGAGTTATTCCAATCATCTATCATCACTACAGTAAGCTCATCCTAAATTCAATGAAAAAGACCATTACAATAGTGATTCCTATACTTGTAATTTCACAATCACCCCATAATTAAAGGTCCCCTTTTTTTTCATAAATTCAACAGCTTCCTTTCAGCTGGTTAGTAATAATTTCATAATCCAATTAAACATTCTACCATACACATATCTCACCAGTCATTTAGTAAAAGCGACAAAAACTTACTTCTTCCACGAGTTCTTCATGGACATCGGATCGCCCCGCCCGACGCACAAGCACTTCATTCTCCGGCGCTTTCACCGCAGTTTCTTCATTTTCTGCACCAATTTCAGATAATGCCAGTTTAGAATGAGCAAATTCTTTGCAAAATTCAAACATAACACATCAAATGAAGCCGAAAATCAAAATCAATTCACCTTCAGCTGTAAAAAGACTCGATAGACGAATCTTTTGTCGCACCTCTTCTCGATCACCAACCTAATCAAGAACATAATCAATCAAACCATAATCAAATTACTAAACCCTAAACCCTAAAAACAAATTAAATTTAAAAATGAACAAATTCAAGAATCAAGAAACTTACTCTTGCATTAGAAGTTGGAGAATCATGAGGAACAAGTTGAGGGCGAGGATTATTATGAATATGATGATGTTGATGACGACGATGATGATGATTATTGTTTCGAACACCAAAGCAATCGAAGAAGCAAGACATTGCTTGAACAGATCGCCAAAGAAATCCGAAAACGTCGCAGTAAGTCACTGGCATGTCATAAGATGATGGGAAATTAGGGTTTCTTATAGAAGATTAATTTGGGGGAAATGTAATGATGATGATTGATTAGGTTAGGTTAAGCTGATAATCGAGTGTGACTATGAGGTGAGGAGAGAGAAAGTGAAGAAAGTGTGTCTGAGAATCTGCGATTTTGTGCAATTACACTTGAAATCCAAAATTGCTGATTTTGCGTTGGGACATAGAGTGAGACGTTTCTGCTCACTGATTTTGAAATTTAAACTATTTAGGAGGGAAACTCTTCCTCTCCCTTCTTCATTCTCTATAGTGATGAGCATGGGTCGGATTACATAGACTCACGTGTTATGTCAGCGTATGCTGGATCATGTTTATAATGAATGGATCATGGTTGGTAAAGTGGTTAAGAAAATGGTTTGGGACTTTGGCCCATTGTGTTCATGTCAATTTTTGAAAATGATATCCATACATAATTCATGACTCACTAACGTGTCTCTCATGTAATGTTGAGTTCGTACATCTCAAGCCATTTTTGTATTGTGCTTGATCGGTCTTGAGTGAACTCAACCATGCTTAACTCCACCATTCTCTCTATTTCTTATGTAATCCTTAAAACTTTAATCATATAGGAAGTAGATGAACTGAACTAAAATGAATAGAGTTTAACTAGTTTTTTTTTTTTTGGGTGGTTGGGGGGGGGCAGGGGGGAGGGGGGGGGGGGGACTGACAATAAGGGTAGAAGAACAAGGTTCTATTTCCTCATCCCCGCATGTCCCATCTTCTTTTTCTCCCTATTAAGTGCCTCAATTTGACTTATTTTACTTTTTACTGATCAAGAATTTTTTTATTAAAATCTCAATGTAATTAAGTATTATGGAGTAATGTAATACTAAGCCAAAGTATCTATAAGTTTATTCACTCGATATTGAGTGACATTGAGTAAGTTACATTACTTAGTAAGTATACAAGTATTACCACACAAATTAAGATTTTATATTTTCATAAAGTATTATTATCTTCAATCACTTATTTTTGTAAAACATAAAATATACATATTGAAAATTTAAGGTTTTTTTTTAAAGTATAATATTAACTAGGCAATTTTCGAACCATGCTCGAATTTTAAAGCAATACACATATTAATAAATCAAAATTTACTCAATATAGATTTGTAATCAATTGTTATTTTAATAAAATTATTTAGCTTAATTAGGAAATATTATATACTTCATATAATACAATATTTTTTCTAAAAAAAAGTAACAAGGAGAAATACAATTTAAGAAAAACAATTTGGTATATTCAATTATTAATATCTAGTAGATGAAAAAAATATATAGTACTAAATAAAATAACTTTTAAGTTTATAGGATATAGTGTCTTCATATATAAGTTTATAGGATTTTTTGGAAAATAACACCACAAAAAAACTCACGATTTGGATTATTACACCACAAAAAAAAAAATCATTATAACACCACAAAAAAAAACCAAAAATTTGGTTTCACCACCAGCTAACGGATTTTTGGATGGAATCCGTTTATAGGGCCCACAACAAACACGTATCAATAACCTACTGGTTAAAAAAAAATTAAAAAAAAATGAAATAATACTCTAAACCCTAACCTAACCCAACACAGCTCCACCTTCGGCAACTAGGACCCCCATCGCCGACAACCCAACCCCAGTCGCCGGCACCATCTGCCCCCCACAGAAACCGGCGACTTCATCCTTTCCTCTCCCCGAAAACTACCCCAGCCCCGCCTAGCCTCACAGCTCCAACAAATTAACAACACTAAACCAGCCCACGCAACCACCTCCGCCACTCCACACACACACACACAACCAAATCGAACCCAGCCCCTTCGAACTACCGAGTTCGACCGTGCACTAACACTACTAGAAAATAGGCAAATTCCAACGGACCCGAAATTCTGTCGGAAAATGTAAAATTTCTGACGGATTTATGTTCCGTCGGATATTTCCGACGAACTCAACCATTCCCTCGGAAATCCGACAGAAATAAAATCCGTCGGAAATTATAAAATCTGTCAGAATATATGTGCTTTCCGATGGATTTTTCCGTCGTAATTTACAATTTCCGACGGAAAATTCCGTCGGAATATTATTTTAAAAAAAAAATTAAACCCCTTTAACCTAAATATAAAATCTTCCCTTTCCCCTTATTCTTTCCGCCTCTTTCCCCTTATTTTTTCAGACTCTCTTTCTCTCTCCTCTTCTCTTCTCCCTCCCCTTCTCTTTCTCAGTTTCTCTTAATCTCTTTATCTCTCCTCTTCTCTTCTCTTTCCCCTTCTCTTTCTCGGTTTCTCTGAATCTCTTTCTTGCCTCCTTCTTCTCTCCTCTTCTTTCCCCTCCTTCTCACACCAACAACAAAACCATTAAAGCCTAGATCTTCTCTCCTCGTCTTTCCCCTCCTTCTCACACCAACACCGCTGTATTTGACACCAACATCGCCGCGCAAAAACAACGACGCAATCAACACCACCACCTTTGATTAAGTTTTGATTATTTTAAAGGTTTTTTAGGCCAAATTCAGCCATTAAAAGCCTAGATCTAGACTTTTCATGGCTGAATTTGGCCTTGTTAAACCGTTTTCGTGGTGAAATTCGAAGCCCATTTCAATTTAAGGTATGTTTTGTGTTTTAATTTTTCGCTTTTATTTCCGAGTTTTTTTTCTTTTCTTTTTTTAAAATTTTTTTTGGGTTAGGAGATTCGGTGGTGGTGGTGGGTAGGGGTGTACACCGGTCCAAAACCGGACCGGACCTGTTTGGACCGGGGACCTGAATTGGGTAATTATGAGGACCGGGGACCGGACCTGAATTAACAGGTCCGGTTCCGGGCTAGACCTGAAAAATCAGGTCCGGTCCAGGTTTGGACCTGAATGGACCTGTTTTGTGATTTTTTCGTTTTTTTTTTTATTTTTTTTTAATAAAAAACTTGTTGGACCTGCGTATGGACCTGTTTTGTGATTTTTAGACCTGTTGCATAATTAAATAATTACATACAAACCAAAATTATTAATCACAAAAGTACAAAACTACATAAAGTCTATAAAAGTATAAAGTCCCAATTCTCAAACACCAAAAATACCAAAAAAAAAACATAAATTCGATATGAAGTACTTTTGGCTATCTGAAACACAGGAAACACTCTCTTATTATCCTTCATGCTGCGCCTATAACACTCTGCCATCTTGGAAGCCCTTTTCTTTTCTCCAGGTTTAAGATCCCGCCTATTCGATATGAAGTACTTTTGTTTCCACTCCATTGTCACGAACAAACTGTTTCCATCCATCTGTAAACACAAATGGCCTTTCATCATATGTACTCGAGAGTCTGATTTTCCATTTGTGTTTACTTGGCGCTATAAGTGTACACCACGGGGAGAGTTTCTCCTTGAAACACTCCATGAACTTCTGAGGAATATTCTGCAAGAAATGTTCACCAAAAAATTCAATCAAGTGAGCTAATATATATTAATAATATAAGTGCAGTTGCTTTCATAACACTCCATGAAGCATACCTGAATACAAATGCCTAGTTAAGCATCATCTTTGAGAATGAATGAATGGTTAATTGTTGTGTTTTAAAGCAGTTTTTAGGAGATCCAAAGACCTTTTTTTTTTATAAATGCAAGATCATTAAAAAGCTGATCTTGTTAACATAAATTCCGGAAATTTTCATGACATCGTTAAGAGAAGTAAATAAACCAATTGAAAATATAAGCAAATAACTAAGAGTATAGAAAATCATCTTGAATAGACACGGATAGAGCACAAAACAAAGTAGGGAGGGTGTCTCTTTTTAAGGATGCTCAGTATTCATTTCAAGACGGTACAAGTTCATTTGAGTAGGCAAAATTTAAGACAAAACCAACAACCTTAACCTAGGACCTGGGTTTTTCCTTCTTTTCCTTGAACAGAGCTAGAAGAGAGACACCAGCAACCTTGACAACCTTAAATCGGACTCCAGGAATATCTCCCACAGCATGTCCTTTACGACCAAATCCAGCAATCAACACCTCATCCTGCACAAACCACATTTTCTTAGTATGGAAGGAAAAACAGAGCTAGATAATATCAATTTCAAAGTCAAATACAATATAATCAGGTAACAAATATTAGACAAAATTCCACAAACTTCTGCATGATCCACATTTTCAGCATGAATCTACACCCAAACACAACATTAAACTACATACATATAACAGAAGACCTTGACTTCTTTTACCAATCAGGTAACTTCTTTAGTAAAAGGGAACAGTTTATCATTCTTTGATAAGAAGTATGAATTAGCATTATCTTAGAACAGCTTTTTCCAGATGATTTACTCATGAAAGGATAAAAAACCAACAGTGTATGACTGATCTTAATTGCTCAAGCTATATACTCTCCACCGCAATACTGTTATGATAGTCTTAAACCACAAAAATAAAGCTGCACATGTACTGAACAGGAGTGGGTGCAGGAGTACTGACAGAAGAATCAGATAAACCAGCACAGAAAGAGTGCGCACTATCATGTTTTATATGTTTCTGGATAAACTGTTATCAAGAGTTTATGATATGAGTATAAGAAAAGCATTGTTACTAATGTTAAACCTTCAGTAATCAGATGCCAGTATTTCTCCAAAAAATCCACAACAGAATTGACATTATTTCTACAATGGTTAACAAATAACTGGAGTTGTTTAGACTTTAAGAGTTTCTACAAAGGTTAACAAATAATTGGAGTTGTTTAAACTTTAACAAACAACATTATTTCTAACACGGTTAACAAATGACAGTTAACAAACTGCTAGTGTATCACTAAGTTTGTGTCGAAAGGCACAAAATACCAGCAAATTCACAACCAAGCAATTTATGAAACAGTAAGTGCATATATGCTTGCAGACATTAATAGAACGGACTTACATTTTCCTCAATGAAGTTCAAACAACCATCATTGGGCACGAAAGCAGCAATCTTTTTTCCATTCTTAATCAACTGCACACGAGCACATTTTCTGATAGCAGAGTTGGGCATTTTTCTGCAATGATAAGTTTATGCAACAACGCTTATATAATGACTAATAACATAGAATTTATGCATCCGAATGCATAAAATTAACTATTCAATTTGAAGCCATGCCAAAGGTCAATGCAAAGTACTAGATAAACACTAGACTACTAGATGTTTACAATCTAATCACTACTTTCTCTGCTCTTCTGATTTTATTAAACCCTAAACTTTAAACTAAAAAAAACCAAAAAAAAAAACATAAATTCGAAGATAAACCATACTTTTTATCAATTCTAAACATTAAACCCTAAAACCCTAAACTTTAAACTAAAAAAAACCAAAAAAAAAACATAAATTCGAAAGAAATTCGAAAATAAACCAAAAAAGAAAAAACATAAATTCGAAAACATTGAAGTAAAAAAAAGAAATTCAACATGCAAACATCAAATAATCATTATAAGCAATTGAAACATGAATAAACATATAAATTCTAACACTTAATTCATTATTTCGAATACAAAATACCCAAACATAATTAGATAATTTAGATTTACATTAAAAAAAAAAAATAACTTACCGGAGAAATGGAAAATCGCGCAGTAGCTGTCTCATGCGGTGGTCGGTGGGCGCCTGGGCTTCGCCTGAGAGAGTGAGGAAGGCAGGAGGTGTCGGCGGTGGGCGTTGCCGCGTTGGGCTGAGACTGGAGACAGTGAGCGTGACTGCGTGAGGGAGAGGGGGAGACAGCCTGTTTGTTAGGGTTAGAATGAAATGAAAGAGAATTCAAGCGTCACTCAAGCAGCAGCGTTATTTTGATTTTTGAATTTTTTTTTTTTTTTTTTAAAAAAAAAATACAATTTTTCCGGGTTTCAGGTCCGGACCTGAAAACCCCGGGTTTAGACCGGGTCCGGACCGGAACCGGGAACCTTGATTTTTAAGGACCGGGACCGGACCTGAATCAACAGGTCCGGGTCAGGTCCGGTCCGGATCAGGTCGGTTCAGGTCCGGTTTCAGGTCCGGTCCAGTTTTTGTACACCCCTAGTGGTGGGTGTGGCTGATGTGTGTGCGTTTGGTGGGTGGTGATAGGATTTTGGTGATTGTGCGTGTGGTTTTCAGTTAGGGTTGGGTGGTGATGGTTGGTGAATCTGGGTTAGGGTTCGGTGGTGGTGGCTGATTTGGGTGGGTCAGGGTTTGGGTTAGGTGGGTCTATGTAAGGGTGCGGTGGCGGTGGTTGGTGGATCTGGGTTATTGGATTTGGGTAAGGGTGCGGTTAGGGTTAGGTTGGTGGGGTTAGATGATAGATCTAGGTTAGTTGGGTGGGTTAGGGTTAGGTTGGTTAAGGTGGTGGGTCTAGTGGGTGGGTTCGGGTTAGGTGGGTTAGGGTTAAGTGGGTTAAGGTGGTGGGTTCAGGTTAGGGGGGCTGGTGTGGGCCGGTGGTTAGGGCGGTGGGAGGCGTTTTTTTTTTTTTTTTTTTGAATTTTCCAACGGATAATTTTCCGGCGAAACTGTATCCGTCGGAAATTTCCGACGAACTTTTCCGGTGCCGAAATTCCTCTTCCGACGAAATTTCCGTCGGAAAAGGTCGTTTTTCCTAAACAATTGTTTAGTCGGAAATAACCTATTTTCTAGTAGTGCAGCCTCCACAATCAGCCCCAACGAATTCAACCCTTCAGTCGCGCCGTTTCGACCTCCAGATTCCGCAACTCGCAAAACCCAAACCACCACCAAAGTGGCCACTAACGTTTGAAATAGGCCGGTTTAGTGCGTGGGTGGTCAAATTCAACCCAAAATCGGTCCATAATTTCTGATTTCGCTGGTTGTAGGTGTGTCGGAATCGAAAATAGTGAAGTTCCGGCGGGGAAGGGGTTAGCCGGTGGTGGGGATGGGGTGGCTAGAGTTAAATTTGGGATTTTTATTTTTTTTGTTAATTTTATTTTTTTTAAACTAATAATATAGTGACATGTGGCAACGTAGACCCCACTTAACGAAATTCCATCCAAGAATCCGTTAGATGGTGGTGAAATCAATTTTTTGACATTTTTTGTGGTGTAATAATAAAAGTTTTTTTTTTGTGTTATCAAAATTATGACTTTTTTGTGGTGTTATTTTCTAAAAATTCAAAAAAAAAAAAAAAACAAAACAAAACAAAAATAATGTTGATGTCATGATCCTATCATGATCATAGTTCAAAAAAATCTTATCATGATCATGTTCAAGATTTATAAAAAGGAAAAAAAAAAAAGTTCAAGCACGTCGTGGATGCCAAGGATATTCCACTCAATAAAAACAATCAAGGCTCATCATCAGCATGATCATCTTCCTTCATACGAAGTATTAAAATGGATGATTCCAGTCATGAAAACCTTGGAGCAACTTTGTTTAAACTCATGATCGGATGGGGCAAACGTGGTCCGATCCATGTGAAACTTGGCCAGATTGTTGAAGACACGTAGAGCTGCAATCTGAATGGTGTAATCGTTCAAATGTTCACTGTTTCGTCGAATTTGTAGCCTGGCAGAAACTTCACAATGGAGTTATAGTCGTACATGACATTGCATAACTCCAAGACTTCAAGGGTTGCAGCGAGGTGTGGTACGTTGCTCCAAGAGTCCATGAAAATTTTATAGTACACCCAAGTGTACCAAGCATGGTACACCCGGATATTTTTAATTATTTTTTATTTTTATTTTTTTGAAAAAAGGAATCAGTTTTCAAATATGTCTTCCTTAATTGAAGGAATTTGTTAATTCTTTCCATATTTATAGCATCCAAAATATTAATCTCCATAATTTTCTATAATTTAATTTATGAGATCCAGCGAGAATTTTTTCGGAGAGAGAAATTTGCATATAGAAAAATGATAGTGCATGGTGAATTTCATAATGATTATGATTGAAGATCTCCTCTTAATGCTATGATTATGATTGAAGATCTCCTCTTAATGCTTATAAAAATGATGTTTTTGAGAATGAAGGTGAGATTCATGAGGAATTCGTGACCCAATAAAAAGATAAATCTAGATTTTTTATTTTGATTTTTAAATTTCATTATTTTGATGTTTGTTTGATGATGATTTATATTTGTTCACTGATCATGGTTAACAAATTCATTATTAAAAGTATCAAGTTTTCAATAATTTTAGTATTTGCAAATTTTTTTTCTAAATTTTTATTATTTTCTGAGGTTGAATATGATGTTCTTCAAACTATAATGAATTTTCTTTTATTTGTTCGGTCCATATTTATCTTTTTAAATGGAATGGAATATATACTTTTGAGTCGGATTAATATATGTTCTTTAAGTTTGAACCATATGCTCCTTACATCACCAATTATGTTCTTTAAGGTATATGTAGATTAAAAATGTTCTTTAGGTTTTAATAATACGAAGAATGTTCCTTTTTACTTTACAGTATGTTCTTTTGCTTTTTTTTTTTTAATTTTTATTTTTGGAGAAAAGAAAGTATTATACGTATACATGTTTTTTTTTTATTTAAAATAACGTATACATGTTCTTTTATTTTCTTTAAATAATTTACATTTTTTATATTAATTTAGAATATCTAATAATAATGTTTTTTTTCTTTTTTGTAATCAGGATTATGATGGTTAATGAGAATTTTTTGGGACAATGATGGACATTTAGATCTAATAAGCATCCATAATATTAATAAGGACCTCCATGTTATTGATAAAGAACATGATATGTAATGAACAATACATTAATTAACCATTAAACAATGAATATTATGTGACTATAGAAATACATTAAACTTATCATCAAAGAACATGGACATTTAAAATAATTTGTTAAAAGATTCAAAAAATATCATTATATGATATAATAAAGTACATATGGACATACCATAACGTTAATAAATAATTGTATATTATAAACAAATATAATGTACATCATCTTTTCTGATAAAGAACGTTGTTAAATCATACAAAAAACATTACAAGTTATACGCATGGACACCATACCAAATTAAAAATCAATATAAAGAATATTAATAATGAACATGATATTACTATGAAATGAACATCATTTAAATTTTAACCAGCATGACAAAATTTTGAAAATGAAATTTTAAGTTTAAATTTTAAATTTTGAAAATTAAATATTGATTTATGTTTAAGGAAAAAAAAACTCGTAGAGGATAATTATTATGAGAAAATGATTTTCTTAAGAAGATTTACCATTAGATGCGGACTAAAAAGATAAAGTAGTAATTATCTTTCACTTATTTAAAACCTATGTTAAAAAAATTGTCACGTTCTTTACTTTTTAACAATATGTTCTTTTCACTCTGATTATATTTCTTTACATTCCATCTCATAGATTTAAAAGAACTATGTTCTTTATGTGTAAGCACTATGTACTTCCCAAGTGTACCTTGCTCGATACACTTGGGTGTAGGAACCATGCATTGAAGAGTCCAAGGTATCAAGAATGATGACAGAAGCAAGACTTGGGTAGCGAGGTTTGGGTTTCGTTGGCAGGTAACTCCATGGAACAACTCCTTTTCTAATTCACCACGATTCCATTGTAGGAGTTATATCAATTTACAAATTGTTAACTCAAATAATAATGAGATATATAGGAGGAATAAATGTGGGTTACAACCCAAATAAAAAAATTCTGTTTATTAATTCTCAATCTCTCTTTTCTTCACTATTTTGCTTCCTTATTTATTTCTTTCTTTTATTTCTACTCTTCTGCTTCTCTTCTTATAATGAAAATAAACATTACATTTATAACTTATGTTTTACTAAATAATAAAAGGATGAAAACTCTTCTAATTCACGACCTCTCACTAATTTATCAAATGTTATTTAAAGTAAACTAATTAATTTTATCAAATGCTTAAAATAGTTTTCTAAATTAAAGTTTGAATTTCAACATGCCCCCTCAAACTTTAATTGTCATTCCAAGTAACTCTCTTAATTTTCTAAATGCTTCATAAGATAGGGGCTTCGTAAATATGTCTGTGACAGGGGTTAAATCGGTCGCTACAATCTAACTCTCAATCAAACAATACTTATACGAACACCCTATAACCAAGTACAATGGCAAATAAAGGTTCGGTCCACGAGGAACGAGAGTAATTGCAAATCAATCTTAAACCTAAGCTAGTTCGAAATCAATGAAAAATGGTGTTCCAAAATACTACTAATAAGATGGAATAAATCAATAAACTAAGACACTAGGGAGAACGGGAATCCGCCTAACCATTGGTAACTAAGCAACAAGGAATCACAG